CCCTCTAAAGAACAAGCCAAGAGTTCCAATTTCAGTAGAAGCCTAACCTTTGCCATATTAATATATGCCAAAGCATAGGACACACCTTTAAATCAGCAGTAAAAAATTACTACACTCTAGGTTTTGCCAGAAATTAACCTTGAAATAAATCTACCTTTCTTCTCAAGGCAGGTGTGTAGAATTTGTTATTTGGGCAGTCAGCCTACAAGAAAAATACTATGCTCGCCATCTTCAGTTCTTGCCATCAAATTAAATTACCAGAAAAGAATGTATCTAGACATTAGCTTATGTCCTTAAAATACCTATACAATTTTACACTAAGTTATAATTTGGATTTTATCGAAATTCAATATAAGAAATGACCATACTGAAAAAATAAAGCAATAATATAAATGTTTCAAGGACAAACCTAAATATCATCATAACAAAATTGCTGTTATTTAGTTCTGAGAGCTTTACATGCTGGTTTTATTTATAATTATGCCAAAACCAGTTTGCTCAACCAATATATGGACACTGTTGTACAAGCTCCCTCAACTGGTTAAAATATAGAACTACCAAAAAACATGTTCCATTAGGTTCACTTTTTCATCTTCAGAAATTTCTGAAACTCCAACCTGAGATCAAAGAATGGACATGACGTCATTAGATAATTTGTTAAAGCCATTCTGTGAACATATATCTGCCAAGTCTTGCCATGTTTCTAGCAAGCAAAATGAATCACTCAACATAAGATGTTCTACTGCATCTTTCCCACCTTTATTTCTTTAAGTAGTTTAATGCCAACTTCTTTCATATTTCCAGAGAACAGATCAAGTATAATAAGCCCAAAAGATAAAAATGGTGGTTTCCCATTGCTTTCTTTAGTGAGAGAATTAGTTCAGCTTGGGGACATATGTTATTAGCTGCATCAGGTCACCTGAAGTAAAGTCCTTAAACTGCTGTAGGTATTCCATGGCCCTATGAATCTGACCCTGTTTGCACAGGCATAGAAGAGCTTTCTTATGAAGGCCACTTTTGCTGTAGATAATTTGAGCTAAAGCCAAACACTTGGCCTTGTTAAAAGTATCCTGCTCCCCATAATCACTAATCACATCACCAGCCTCCTCAGAAAATGTTAGCTTTTCTTGGGTGACCCAGTTGATAACTAAATCAAACTTTTTTTCAGACAGTCCACATTTGATTCCTTCCAAAGTTAGATATGCATCAACAGGATATTTAAAAGCATGACTTGTGCTATATATAGCCTCAAAAAATAAGAGTAATGGAAGAGGATTTCCTCTTATTTTCCCAACAGCCTTAAATTTGTTCATTATATTCATGTTTCGAAGAATTCTTCTAGGACTATTTGCTGCAAAACAAGCTGCCTTTTCATATTCACCAAGTGAGATTAATTCATTGAACCTTTCAGTGTAGTACAGCACAACTGCAGCACAGCACAATTGCAGCATCTTTTGCCCTGCTTGGATCATCTTCAAGCAGTTCTTCAACAATGCCTTGGTCACCTGTAAATACTTTGGTTTTCTGAATTTGGTCCACAAGGTCTTGAAATGAGCTGCTCATATCAGATTTTACCCATGAAGTAAGTGCATGTAAAACAATCTGTAGTCTTTGATAACGAAACTGTAATTCTTTGTTCAGATTTTCAGCTACATCTCGCCTTTTTAATAACACAATCATTTCCTTATCTAAATCAGCCTTCTTTTGAGCTGGTACAAAGTTTATTGACATGGCTTGTTTAATTTCTACATCTTCACGATGTTTCATATATTTACTGAGAGCATCTAAACTGACAGATTCATGGAGAGTCATACCTGGAATAGGTTTTGCAGGATTTTTGATGAAAGTACAGTATTTTACTTCTTTAACATCATACTCTGCCCTAAGCTGTTTCAGTTGATCTATTTGCAATTGAATCTTCAAGGAATTATTTTTAATAATCCTTATTTTTTCCTTGAGTTGGATTGTTCTTCTCTGGTGATATACCAAAGCTGTAGGCTCTGCTGCCAAAGCCTTAAGTTTCCCATGAAGATAAAATGCAGTTCTCTGGCTTTTCTTTATTGTCTCAATAAAGGCATCATATTCTTTTTTGACTGAAGTAAGAATGGATTTATATGTGGTAACATACTCTATGACCTCCTCGAGTCCTCACTTGGATCCCCGTCTCAGAAATTGAATTTTTATAAATTATTAAGGGAATCATGAATTATTAAAACCATGAAAGCAACTATTTGTTTTTTTCTCTCAAAAAGCAAAAATATGTATACAGTAATACTACTTTATGATCCATTAGTTCCAATTCTAGATAAATACCTCAGTAGTAACTTTCAAACACTTTTGGCAAAGACAGTAAAAATTAATTTAAACCATGTCACAGTACATACAGGTACACATACAACTAAAATAAACCTTTCGGGAGTAACACTGAACCTTCCTAGATAAAATGTTCTCTATTACCCATTTTGTCTTGTTCCATTTCATAATATAACCACACTGTAACACAGAAAAAAAATAGCCAGTCAGGATTCACTAAATTTTATGACAAAGGAAATATACAAGTAAACATATCACACCACATTAGCATCATCATCTATAAATGAAATTGAAATAAGATGTATCCATTCATAGGAAAATGGATTAAAATTATGATAAATTTATAAAATATTCTATAATTATCAAAATAATCTAAATCTAGATGTATCAATATAGATAAATTTTGAAAATAACATTGAGTGAATAGGGCAAGCTGAAAAAGAAGAATCATAATATGAGTTTATACAAATTTAGAAAACAAAAATCAATATGCTATACTGCTCAAGAATTCATATGATATAAGCATAAAAGCACTGATGAGAAGGACTGACTTCAAGTTTTAGAAAGTAGTTACCTCTGAGAAGGAAGTGTTAAGAATGGGGCTAATTTAAAGATGTGTTCCTTTTCTGTAAAATTTAATTTTTTAAACATAAAGTTCTGAAAATGTTAAAATATTAACATTTGTTAAATCTAAGTAGTGGGCACATACCTGTATGATGCAAATTTTGATACTTGTAAGTTAAAATTATTTTTAAAGGAAAAAAATAAATTAAAAGATATGTTGCCTTTTGTGATGACATTAAAGTACCAGCAAATCTAAACATGTCTTAAAATGTGAAGTATAAACAAAATTTATGTCTTAGTTCATGCTGAAACTGGTAAAAAGATTGACAGCCTTAAAATAACTTTTTCTTAACAGCTGGTAGGAAATGAATAAGTTACATTTTGAAGTTTATAACTAATATTTTCTTTCCTTCTTTAGACTGAGCAAGGTACATGATACCAAGAAGGCAAGGTACAAAGAAGACAAGGAAAGGAGAAAGAGAGACTGAGAGAATGAGGATGAGGATTAAAAAAAAAAGTCTGTTAGTGAATTTTTCAAAAGAAACAAAGAGAAGTGATAGGTTTTTTCTTTTTAATTAACTAGTGGATAAATCTCAAAGAAGATGACTTGGAGATCATGAGTCCAAAGACAGGTATGAGGGTACTGGGGACAGCAGAGTAAAAACAGTGATAAACCTAGGGATTCCACTTAGTGGTACACTAGTCCCACTTTATGGTTGAAGCTTTTTGATGTGCTATATATGGGACAGAACCCAGAGCAGTATCCACTTAATGACTCTTAGAGGTCATAATCAGGGAGACACGGTAATTGATTCAGTGAAAATCAAGATTTATACATTATAATTAGGACTAACAATTGCTACAAATTTAGGAGGAAAAGGAGAGGGTTAGATAGTATGACAAGATGTATCTGTTATAGTTTATATTCAGATGTTCCCCCAGAGCTTCATGTGCTCACAGGTGGGGATTTCGGGAGGTGATTGGGCATGTTACTCATCAATGGATTAGTTCACTGATGAGTTTATAGCTAAATATGATGTTGGGAGGTAAAGCCTGGTTGGAAAAGACTGTCACTGGGGGTGTGGACCGGCAGGGTGTATTTCCTTCCCTCATCTTGGTCACACTCTGCTTTCTGCCACCATGTCAAAAGCAAACCTCCTCTGCCATGCCCTTCCACCACGCCACCCTGCCTTGGACCCAGGCGACTATGGACGGAGACCTCTACAAATTGCGAGCTGAAATAAACTTGTCCTCCCTTAACTTGTGGATGTTGGGCTTTTTGTCCCAGTGATGAGAGAAGCAACTAAGACACCACCCTATAAATCTAAGGATTTTCAAGGCAGACCCTTTCTACAGTGATTATATATCATCAAGTAGTCAAAGAAATATTTTTTTTATCCCTATCTGCTCCTCCCACACCTAAAAATCTCTTTGTAGATCATAATCTTCCAATTTTCAGTGGCAGCAAACTAAATACTTTAGTGAGTCAGCAATTCCAGAACTTAATCACTTAATTGTTACTAGGTTTGCAGTTTTGAATTTAGTATCTAAATTCTTGTCATGCTAGAAAACAAGTATCAGAATCTGGTTGAGGAACAAAATGATGGTAGCGTCACATCTCCCACACAGTGTAAACATATATGTGCTTATCAAAACAACATATATACCACAGAAATGTAGTTTAGATGGGGTTACATCCTTACAAACTCTTGGTAAATTTAAAATATCTTAAATCAAAATGCATTTGATACACACAGCCCACAGAACATAGTACAGCTTAGTAAGACAATACACTATAGAATATCACTTGTTTACCCTCATGATCTTGTGGCTGACTTGAGAATTCTGGCTTCCTCCTCATGAGAGGAGCACTGTACCTCATATCTCTAGGCCAGGAAAAAGATCAAAAGTCAAGCATGGTTTCTATAGAATGCGTATAATTTTTGTACCACTGTGAAACTGAAAAATCATAAATCCCATCATTTTATGTCAGGAATTGTTTGTACATGTAAATTGGTACTCAATAAATATCTGTTACTATTTTATCCAACATAGTAACCAATCAGATAAAATGTTAAATATACAGTTTTTAATTCCAAGAAATCCTCAGAGTGAAAACATACCCATAGTGATACAGTCTTCCTTGTACAAGAAATGGTACGGAAAGGTCTAGGAGCTCCAGGTCTTTAGGGCCAGATTTCACAGGAATTATGCTATGAAACTCACTTGAAAGTTTACAGATTTCACCAACCGTACCTCCTGTTAAAAAAGAATAAACAAATTCAAGTAGTAAAATATGAGTTAGGTAAAATGGAGTACCTGAGAGACAGAAAATACTAGAGACTGAAAGATAAAAATAACAAAAGTCATAAACTTAGAGATTCGATACATTTATTTTGAAAAACATTAATTTGTAAATTTAGGATACAATACATTAACTAAAGAAATCACTGAACAAAAAATGCTGAGACATGAATAAAATACAAAACTTGTGCAATCTTAATTATCTTCTTAAATTTAAACAAACTGCTGCCAGGAACATTTTAGTTCAAGTAATCAAAAGAGAATACAATGAAAAGCAAAGTATGGTATGATTCTCACTGTTAAATTTGCTATATTACTAATGCTCAAATAATTTCAATTTTGAGTTTGAAAAGAATCTTTTAAAGTTTTAGGTCAATGTTAAATATAGAAACCAAGAAAAGTTCATGTTAATATATACTCTGTAGTATTTATTGTTCTTGGAAAAATCATGAAAATTCTCCTAAATCTATGATAGAGGAAGCATTAAAACCACCAAGTCTGCTAATAAACAGTATGCCCAATGGCGCACCATTATTAGATTTATATGTATCCAAAATTACCCGTATCTATGATATACTGTGACAGACAGACAGCTGTGTTCCACCTATTCACCTCTCCCTATCATCCAAAATCTGCAACCACTGATCTACTGTCTTCATAGTTTTGCCTTTTCCAAAATGTCATACAGTAGGAATCATTCACTAGTAGCCTAACTGACTACTTTCACTGTAGTAATATGCATTTAAATTTCCATCATGGGTTTTTATGGCTTGGGAATTCAGTTTTTAGTGCTGAATAATATTCAACTGTCTGGATAAACCATGGTTTATTTAACCAATCACATATAAAAGGACATCTTGGAAGCTTCTAGGTTTTGGCACTTATGAATGAAATTGCTGTAAACATTTGTGTTCAGATGTGCAGATTATTTTCAACTTCTTTGGGTAAATATCAAATATCATATGGTTGCTCAATCACATGGAAAGACTATGTCTAACTTTACAAAAACTGCTAAAATGTCTTCCAAAGTGGCTGTTCCATTTTGCACTGACTGAGAGTTTCTGTTGTTACATATTTTGACCAATGTTTGGTGTTGTCAAGGTTTTGGATATCAGTATTCTAACAGGCATGTAATAGTATCTCCTTGTCATTTTAATCTGCAATTCTCTACGGACATAATTAACATTTTTTCTAATGGTTCAATATCATTTGTATGTTGACTTTAGGTCTTTAGGCTATTCTTTAAAAACTGGGTTGTTTGTTTTCTAATTGTTGAAATTTAAGAGACCTTTGTGTATTTTGCATAAAAGTCATTTATATGCTAAGTTTTTTGCAAATATTTTTTTCTCCAACTGTGCTTGTCTTTTTTTTTTTTTGGCACCGGGGATCGAACTCAGGTCCTTGAGCTTGTGAAGCAGGCGTCGGAAACACTGAACTAAATCCCCAGCTCTAACTGTGCTTGTCTTTACATTCTCTTGACAGTTTTATTTCTCAGAGCAGAAGTTTCTGATTTTAATAAAACCTACCTTACCAATTATTTCTTTCATGGATTATGCTTTCATGCTGAATCTATAAAGCACTGCAATAGCAAGATCATATAGATTTTCATGCATGTTATATCCTAGGAGTTTTACATAAATTCTCATTTTATTTTCATTAAAAGTTCTTTAAGATAAAGTTGTAACTCTAGATGTACTGATTTATAAAATAAATATTTACTGAGAGCTAATCATATGCCAAGAGGATATGCAGATTAAAATAAACATGTATCCTGCCCTTATGGAGTTATAATCTAACAGGCAAACAAAACTATAAACAGATAAGTATAAAACAAATATAATACAAAAGAAATGTGATCTGCTAATAATATGTAGTGTATTAAGAACAGACACTAACAAGAACCACTTATACCTGGCTTGCAGGTCAAGAAAAGTACTTGGTAAATGTACACACTTATTGAATATTTGACATGAATTACTAAATAAAAAGAATTACTGAATTAACTTCTGAAGCAGTACTACAGTACTAGCAGCATTGCTGTTCTAAGGAAGAGAACAGCAATGAAATGCAAAAGAGGCACAGATAAACCGACTGGGTTTAGGTTTAGGAAAGTGACAACAAAATGTTATGTCTGGAGGGTAGAACAGAAATGGACAATGGTAGGAGATAAGACTGGAAGTTTGTGGAATGAGTACTATTTAAAGACAGAATTGGTGCTAAGGAGATTCCCTTACTCAAATGTCCTGTGGACCCTGAAGGACAGCTTGGCTTCAATCCAGAATTCTGGTAGAGGCAGTAGAACAGAATAGGACCCTAAGGCCTACCTGACATATTCTTTAATTGGTCTTAAGAGAAAAGCTCTTATGGAATCTGAAAGAATCAGTCTATTTCATATTTTAGGAGTGTATATAGGTTTACTCTTTTTTTCGGGGGGGGGTCTACATTTTTATTTTTCCTTTTATATTTATCTCCTAGTACAGATTAAAATATTGCTAAGAAAATAAGATACTACCTTTCATCTACCAAAGTGGTCAAGTGTGATGGTTAATTTTATATGTCAACTTGACAGGGCTAGAGGGTATCCACATATGTATTTGGTAAAACATTATTCTGAGCCTTTTGGTAAGGGTGTTTTAGAATGAGATAGTATTTCAATGGGAAGAATGAGCAAAGTAGGTTGCCCTCCCTTAAGTGAGTGGACCACATCCATTCAATGGAAGATGTGAATCATAAAAGCAACCCTCTGTGTGAGAGAGAATCCCATCTGTCTGACTGGTTTTGATCTGGACATCAGCTCTTTTTGGGTCTCCAGCTAGCTATGTTTTAGACTAATTATAACATGGCTTGTCCAGGCCTCCAGTGTGCTGACTCAGCCTATAGATTTTGGGACTTATCAGCTTCCATAATCATGTGATCCAATTCCTAGTAATACAACTCTTTATATATGTATCTGTATTCGATTGGTTCTCTTTCTTTGAAAAACCTTGATAACCCACTAAGTTTTAAAATGTGCTATTATATTTTGGTAAGGGTAGGGGAATAAGAACTCTGGTTTGTTACTGAAAGCGTGTATACACTAGAATAACTTAAGAGAGCAACATTTGTTGTGATGATTAAATGAAATGAACACAGATACTCTATAGAGTAGTTTCTGCCACACCGTCATTATATTTAAAGAAAAGGGTCATGAAAATGTCAATGTTTATATACACATGTATTCATGTGTATATATATATATATGATTATATATCACTTCTCTGAATAAAAAACATCAGCGATAAAAATAATACAACAAAGATAAGTTCATTCATAATATGAAAGCGAGTGTTTTTCAAATGCATATTAAATTTTCCTCTTATTATGAAAGGAGGAAAAGTCTGGATAAAAATAATGAAACTTTAAACTTGGCCTGAGGAAAAAAATGTGTGATGTATATATTAATATTACATGAAAATTAGACAAAAATGGAAATGATAAAAGAAAACATAATAAAATTTCATTCTTTTAAATCTTGTCAAGTGATCTTATTTATAAATAGTCTCTTCCTTGATTTAGATTTCAACCTGGGTTTCATCCTGTTTGTACGAAACAACAGTGACATCCAGTGGCCAAGACAATAGCAGCTGTACATAAGCAATCATCATCTCTATTTTTAATCCACTTGGAAGAGACAAGATTATATGCAGAAATCCACCAAGATGAATAAATGTAAATACCTGAGTTTAATGTATAAATTAAAAATGTAATTCAGATAAATATATGTGTATATATTTGAATGTTGTTCACATATTCCAGGTTGTAAAATTTCAATTGGTATTTTTACTTTATATGTACTACTAGGTTACCCATAAAATATATTGCAGAGCAATGTATTTGAAAAAATGTGCAAAAACAGTATTCTAAAAAGATGGTAACTTAAATATCTTACCTTCTATCAAAATTAGACATTCATTTGACAGTGGGAGAATACCATTATATTTTACAAAATGAATAACGACTTTTCGTCCTCCTTGATCTTCAGTGGTCCAGATTTGTGAATCATATAAGGGCGTATTTTGTAATTTGGTATCTGGGGTTTTAGTTGCACCATCTCGTAAAACTGCATCCAAATTGTCCTCATGTGGCACTTCTTGCCTAAAAATTGACATGAAGTATTAGAAAACTATTTTTATGTAATCTAGAAAATTCCAATTTAACAAATTATCCAATTAAAATATCATTTTTATATTCTACTTTTTCTTAAACTAAGGAGAGAATTCACTTTGCAAACTATATGACTTTTATTCAATAGATAAATATTTGATATTTTGTAGCTCAGTAGGTCTATGTCATAATTACATTAACCACTGACAATTTCCATGCCTGGTTCTGATACCAAAGTTACTTGTAACTATTTCTAGTACTGATCTGCTTTCCTGGATAAAAAAAGTAAACCTTCTTAGTGGGAAAAAACTTCAGCAGCTCCCTTTCTTCACTCTAGTTAATCTCACTTTCAGAGGGCACTTAATGTAAACCAGTATTAATTTCAATTCCTTTTAATAATAATTTGAAAAATCACACAGATAAAGTATCAGAATACAAATGGCATGGTTTGGGATCAAAAAGTTTATTATCTTAGTTTTGGTTCTGTCTCTGTCCTTGGGTAATCTCTTAACTTCTCTGAGATGCTTTTCTTGTTTGTTTAACAGGACATCAGAGAAGAGTGGTTTTATTTTATAAACCGTATGATTTTATAGAATTTAATGAACTAAAATTTGACAATACTTCAAAAACTAAAATTATTACATGTCTTTAATCCTTACTACCTTTTCAAATTGAAATAGGTAAAAATACAGGTCCCTTAACATTTTATTTAGTGATTTGGGGTTCAGAAGTCTCCTCAAACAGTATTATACTTGAATTTTGGATGAATAGATATAATATTAATATTTAAAAATATTCATGAATATTATGTAAATATACAAATACATGGAAGTATCTAGATACAGCTACACAGTACAGCACACTATAGTGAAAAGTTGATTTGTGGCATTCAGATGTACATATACATCAATTACCTAAATTTTCTAAAATATCATTTTATAGTTAGAGGGAAGATAGGCAAGTTACAATAAAAAGATGAATTTGTCTTGATCTATGTGCATATTAGTAAGATTGTAAAACAGGTCTATAAATTTACTTATATATTTATATAAGATGCGGTATTTGGAATAAAGACTTCAAGGCACTGAAATATTCTCTATTACTAAGAAAAATTTAAGTTGTGCTTACTATTCATCTACTGTAGTTCTCAAGCAGGACAGAAGTATTTCCAACAAGTCTTCTGTATCAGTTAATTAGAACACTCAACTACTTAGAATTCTCTTTTAAAAAACAATTTTGTGACAAGGAAGGAAGTCTCCTCAAGTAATGTACTATTCCTAATTTGCATTTATTAGAGCTACTAGCCCAAATTTCAGATCTGAAAATCTTGTTTTTATTTATTATTACTAAGAATGAATTGGAAGGATTTACTAAGAATTTAATACCTTCCCTTTAAATTTTAACCATTCTTCCAAAATACTATACACAAGTCATTTATACATTTTCAAGACTTAAAACTATATGTGCAAGTATATACACAAATACTGTAATATGAAATGAAAACTTCTGTTTTATTTTGGAAAATACTTACAGTGAATGACATTTAGGACAATAAAGTTTAACAGACTGAAAAAGTCTTTTGGGCTTATATGATCTTAGTTTTGCTCGGATTCGATATTGCTGAGGAGCTTTTTGTTTCAGAATGGCACATAATGGTGTCTTCTCCAAATACTGATGGTCAGTAAGTACTGTAAAGAATTTTTATATTAAATCAGAATAAATAATGTCTACAAGGTTTAAGTGTAATCATGACTCATTTCTGTTAACCAAATATATACTACAAAATCTAATTAAGCTGTAGTAACTGTTAATTCCACAAAAGCAAAGGTTACATAAGCAAGGCTCATGAACACAAAGTGAGGCACACAGTGGGTACCTAACAAATCTACTGAATACATGGTGAATAATTTGTGATGGCTCATTTATTTATTGGTACCGGGGATCGAACTCAGGACCTTGCACTTGTGAGGCAACCGGTGGAACCACTGAGCTAAATCCCCAGCCCACATAGTGAATAATTTGGGCAAGAAAGAACTAATTGTCTACAAAGTGTAAGTAAGTATTTTTATATGGGACAAATAGATATTTCCTGTCTAAACTTAAGGAAAACGGCAAGTTTTATATCACCAAGTAAACAGATTGGTTACCCGAGAAATATTTTCAAATATTCACTAAAAAGATTTTTCTGAAAAAATAGTTTTATTTTAGCTGAAGGAACGACCACTGATTACATTAAAGTTTTGAGGCGTATTGGAAGGCACTCCTTTATGTGCACACTGTTCAACACATAGTGGGAGTTGGTTACAAATAATGTCATATAGCATATTTTATATTCTCAAACTAAAAGATAAGCCCCAATGTACTTTAAGTATACAATGCTATATTTTATAAATCTTAGAGACACATGTCTTAGAGTACATATTCAATGTAGAGACATGTATCTGTACGGGTTGCACTTAGGCCAGTATAGGACAAGGCAGAGAAATATTAAATACAGACATATTTTTGCCCTCATGGATATCTCCTGTCACTATTAAGTAAAATGAGATTAGTTGGTAAGTATAAAGGACAAACTTTAATAAGCTCATTACTATACTATCTTTTATCTTATCTCAAAAATGGTAAAGAAGGAAAAAGAAAAAAATATAAGAAAAGGAAAAAATGGAAACAAAGTCTGTGTAAATGGGGAAGGGTAGGGCGGGTGAAGGGAGGCCAGAAAAATGGGGAAAAAATAAGAACCAAGATACATCATGTAAAGGTACAAGATCCCAATGACGAATGTAACTGTATTGTATACCTAAAATGTACAATAAACTTAATGAGGAAAAGAAACAAAAACAAAAACAAAAAAATGATATGTGGTCTTACTTGTAGCTGACAGTTGTTGACATCTTTCTACCTCATACAATGATACTGATCCAGAGCCTAGAGGATGGAGAAAAAAATATTACACTGCTTTAAAGTCCGCTACAAATTTAATGTGGCACTAAAAACAATAAAACACTGTTGAAAGAAACCAGATAATATCTAAATAAATGTTGAGATATGCTATCTTCATAACTTAGAAGGCTCCACATTGTTAAGACATTATCCCAAAATTAATCTGTATTGTCAATACAATCATAATTTAAAAAGCACAGGCAATATGTAATAAGAGAAACTGACAAGTATATTTTATCACTTAAGTGAAGATACAAAGAATCTAGGATACTGAGTAAAGTCTTGAAAAAGAAGAACACAAGAGGATGTACATTACATGACTTACTATAAAACTACAGTAATCAGAACAATATAATACTGATAAAAAGACTGGCCCTGCAACTACTAGAAATTAGTACAGGGAAAATGCATATTCTACTCTATACTGATCAGTAATGAATGGAAAAATACAGGAAAAACCCATTATTTACATCCACTTGATATTTGACAAAGATACCAAGACCATCTGTACATCTATATGGCATTTATGTGGTATTATAAAACTAGAAATTTCTATTTATAAGAAAAATATCTACCTCATATTATATCACAAAGCATTAAAAGAGAACAAACTACTGATAAATGCAACAGTGTAGGTCAATCTCAGAAACATAGTCTGCACAAAAGAGTACACACTATTCCATTTAGTTGGGAGTTCTGAAACAAGAAAAGCTAAAGGGCTCTAGATTACACAAATTTATGTATTGGTCAAAATTTATGGAATGGTTCATTACATGTAACTTAATGGTTATGACTGCATGTAATTTCACTGTAGTTAATAATATCCATACAATCTAAGAGATTTACTAACATCTGTAACTTTTTTGAAATATACCATTAAAGTAATATGAGTTGATGACTGAAAAGATAAATACAGAGATAGATACATAAGAAGCAAAACAAATAGAGTAAAATGTGAATTGAAGAATCTAGGTGGTGGATATGAGTGTTGAGTGAGCAACTGCTTTAACTTTTCTGCACGTTTCAATATTTTTTATTACATTCCAAAATACACTATGACAGAAATAAATGCAGAAGTGCATAAATACTAAACTTATTAAAAGCAATAAAGTGAGGGCCAGGGATTTAGCTCAGTGGTTTTGCCACCTGCTGCACAAGCTCAAAGACCTGAGTTCGATCCCCAGTACCAAAAAAAAAAAAAAAAAAAAAAAAGCAATACAGTGACCCAATGAACAGCAGGATTTTACTTAAACATGAAAGTAAAAGTAGAAATCATAGCAATAATTTGTTTTCTGATTTACAAAGAATTTAAAACTTGAAAATGTGTTTTCCAACTGATTTAGCATATATTCTATTATTTATAGTAATACATTATGTTTTTATAATTTATGCAATATTATACATGCAATACATACATGATTAGATCTTCTTCAGCATCAGTCATAAATGGTATAAGAACCCAAAGCAAGAGAACTTAGAGGGATACCGCAAGCTACACCAACACGGTACAATTTCAATGAATCTGACTTAGTATCTACTTAGATAACTACTACGCTATCATGAGGTAGAATCCATACAGAAACCAGAATTGTAGTAAAATAAGAAAATACATGTAAAATATATACATGGTCTCTCATAAATAGAAAGAAAAAGGTAAAGGATCTAACACAAAATCAGATAAAGATTAAGAAAAGATAATTCAAAGCAAAAAGAATTTAAAAAGCTGCTTAATATATGAGATTTTCAAGTATCCAAGTAGTCTGGAAAATTTGGAAAGGTATTACATTTTATTTGTCAAAAATGTCAAAAAGTTACAGACATTGTTAATTTCCAGCATTACAAGGGTGTGAGTAAAGGATGTCTTACACTGCTATTCAGGAATAAATCCCGATGACCTTTTGTGGAAATAATCTGAAAACATCTATAAAAGAAAATATATGCCTATACTTTGCTACATCAACCTCACTTTTAGGAATTTTTTAAGAAAATAAAAGCACAGAAATACATAGGTCCAGTGATTATTAAAACATTCCCTGTAAAAGGAAACACACTGCTGACAACTTAAATGCCTGAGTTGGAGAATCCCTGAGTAATGCTATGCCCATATAACAAAATATCAAGGAATTATTAAAATAATAAGTTTGGGCTGTATCAATCAGCTCAGAAAGAGGTCTATATTTTTAAGGAAAACAACTAATATAGTATGATTCCATTTTGATAAAGAAAAGTTATATATATATATACACACATGTTATCTTGTTTGTGTATACACACACACACACAGATTATGTCTGTAGAAACATGAAGGTTCTGAAGGAATCGCCTTATGGTTTACCTCATTTCAAGAAGTAAGTAGAGGGCCTATAGGCATAGGCATACAGAAAACTATTCCACTTGATAGGAATTATGACATGTGTTACTTTATAATTTAAAAATTATAATCTTTTTAAAAAGAGAAAAAAAATTGTGAAAAATATAATTACAAATTATACTGTCTCTAAATGATTGTTAATTGGATTAAACTGATATCCTAATAGTAGTGCATATAATCATGTTTCAGGCTAAAATACCATCACCAAAGTGCTACAAAATGGGAAGTTTAAAAATAGAATGAGGAAATAAATTTAAAATATAAATAAAAAGTACCTGTATCTGAATTTGACTTGCTTTGTCATCAACTGACAGCTAAGTAACTGTGAGCAAATGATATGATGGTCATCACTCATAGCCTGTTTCCTTGCAGTTAAAGGGAGAAAATAATACATCTTATGGGAGTGCTATTAGGGTTAAATAATGCATACAGGCATTTACTTAGTGCCTACCAAGAAATTCATGTTAATTTTCATGTTTACATTACTGCTATTGGAAAGAGAAAAGACACCCATAAAATGGTTTTCTGGATCACAGGAGGGTATGAGTTAAATTGTAAAAAAAAAAAAATAATGAGATTAAAAACATAACAGATTCAAGGATTCAGAATGTATAACTAGATATTAAGATAAGTGTAAAAAAAGAAAAATGGTTGTACATTGAGAGTTTCAAAGTTTAGATTTGAATAGTCACCCACTTAAGACAATAAGGTAAATATACATGTCACCGTTTGTTAATACCTTATAATTAGGTAGTTGATTAATTCAATAACTTGAAACTATGTGCCTTTCTCATCTGTGTATGAGTAAAAAATACCTGGAATATTTAAAATAAAACAGCACAAACATTCTTTCTCTTAGAAGCTGACTAGTAAAATAGTTACCTAGGAAATTATAAAGATTTACAAATACATATGAATTACATATAATCATAAATCAAGTAACACTACTACTCTAATTTGAAAATGCAATTATATATTTAGAGAGGCACCATGTTTACCTTTGCATAAAATATATGTGAGGTGTTCCTTTACAACATATAGATATGAATTAAAATAGTGAGATAGAGGAAGACATTAAAGGGAATTTTGTTGAGAAAGCCATTTTATTTAGCAGGAATTAAATCACAATAATAAAAACTGTTTACTTGAAAGGGTGAGATAGCTGTCCTCGTGGTCTGACTGATAGAGGCCGTCTGAATGCTGAGCAGCTGTCAAATGTGCAGTTTCTAAAGCTCTAAAAGTAAAAGAATACAATTTCAAATCACTCAACACTAAGCACAGTAAGTACGCACAAAATTCAAGAGTTTAATGAAACTGTTTATAAAATTATCTGTATTCTTTTTTTTTTGGTAGCAGGGATCAAACTCGGGCCCTCGCGGTTGTGAGGCCGGCGGCAGAACCACTGGGCTAAATCCCTGGCCCAAATTATCTGTATTCTTTAGCATATAGTCTATAACTTTATTGGATTACATGAAGGATCCAAGGTCCTCAAGCTACAAACTTGAGGTTAAAAACATACGAACAGGGCTGGGGATTTAGCTCAGTGACACTGAGCCTGCCTCGCGAGCACGAGGTCCTAAGTTGACTCCCGGGTACCAAAAAAACCCCACATAAGAGTAGAACAGTTAGACAGTAAAATATTGCAAACAAGAATAAGCTGGGATTTTTAATGGGTGAAATTCTGAGTCAGAACAATCTCACTGTAGATACAAGAAATGAAGTTCTAAGCTGCTACGAATTGCAATGTGAGTGAAAATGAGAAGAAATTAGTAAAATGAAGCTTTTTTAGTTATTTCAATTTGTGGAAGAGTATGTATTTTATCTGTTTGTATATACACACACACACACACACACACACATTTTATATATATATATATATTTATTTTAGAATACTGGTGAAAATGTTTCTGTACCTACTAAGAATTCAAGTACCTCAAGAAAAACAAAAATATACAGCAATTTTTTGTTTGTTTTTTGAGATAGGGTCTTGTTACATATTTAAGGCTGGCCTCAAGCTCACTATGTAGCCCAGTATGGTTTGGAATTCACAGCAATCCCCTGCCTCAGCCTCCTGAGTGCTGAGATTACAGATGTGCATCATCATGCCTAGCTCAAGATTTAGGATATTTAACTTTGCAAACACATCTGAACATTTAAAACATGTTTTATAAAAGTTTAATAAAAGTGACATGTTAAAATACTTCTATTATTTATTTAATCAAAGCCATTTCAAAAAATAATACACTTTTTCTCCCATGATATGATTAAGCATTTTTGGAATTCAAGGTAGAAATTAAGTTTTCCAAACTCTGGCTAAAATTGAATTAACACTGTGCGTTGCTGTATTAAATGTGACAAATGACAGAAAAAGAGCAAGATTGTAAAAGGTTTTAACTGTTGAAAAACTTAGGATACAACTCTGACTCTGATGCTAATTAATGACCTCAACTTAAAATAATCTGATTTGTTTCATTAGGCTTATCTATTCAAAAATAATGGAGAATGCTCGCTTTGGCAGCACATATACTAAAAAATAATGGAGAATGGCATAGAAACCTGTGAGGATCAAATAAGAAACTTATCAGAGACCTCCAGAAACAATACTATCTTGGAAATTTACTTAATGAATACTTTATACACATTTACTAAATAGGTATATAAAATGCTTACTTTTTCAGTTGATCCACATCAGAATTACTTTCAGGCAAGACTGTGACTCCCCGCCCGTAACTGGTACCTCCGTGGAGATGAAACTCTAGACTTAATGGTGCCTGGCTTTCAGAAGTCACTGACTGTAGTTTGGTATGGAGGCTGTAGATTCTAAGAAAGCTTCCAATCTGAAAACAGATAATTCATTATTTAGAAAAAAAAAGGACAGAACAAATTTCTGATATTTGAAATTTTACAACCAACGTGAGCCAATGGCCTATTAGGGTTTAACCAGAAAAGACACTAGGTTATACCAGTGTGAATGAACATCAGCTGCAAGGATGCTATAACAAAATCAAAACATACATGTACATTATGTACACACACCTACACACACATGCACACACACTGTGAAACACTGTCCCATTTCTGACATTCTAAAAGGTGCAAAAAAAATTGTCATAGCATCAATTAAATATAGTAGTAGTTAAACCCATTACTTAAGTGCAATCTAAGACTTCTATTCCATAGCATTTAAAAAAATACCTTCCTATGATTTAAAGTAGGGTTAATTAAATATGATCCTTAAATACTCTATACAAAGCAAAACAATTTAAAAGTACAACTATATCAAAATTATAAACATTTCTCTATCTCACAAGTTCATGGAAGGGAAGCTTGTATAAAGCATTTGTAGGGTAGCACCACACCTCTAATTCCAATACTAAGAGAGCCTGAGGGAAAAGGATCATAAATCCAAGTCCGACCTGGACAATCAGCAAGATCATATCACAAAATAAAGGAGGATAAAACGAGTCATTTGTAGGAAAATGGTTACACTTCCAGACCACAATGTGAAGTAAAATAAATCAGACACAGAAACTTTTGGAGAAATCTAAAATAAAAGAGCAAAATAAATAGGGAGATAGATAGATCTTTTGCAAAAGGGAAAGAGACCAAGATATGGAGGGAGGGGGGAGACAGAAGAGGGGAACAGGATGAAAAAGAATTAAGATGTGTTATATACATGAACCAATTCCCAAAATGCAATGGAGTCAATGTGTACTGTAAACATGTATTAACAGAAAAATAAAAATTGAAAAAAAATGGACTGGATATTTAGCTCAGTGATAGAGGGCTGTCCCTAGGACCACAAACAAAGACCACTGTAATTCAAACATAGAATTAAATCGGTGTTTTGAATTGAAGTTTTTATTTTTCCAATATGAGGAATGAAACCAGTGGTGCTCTACCAGTGAGCTACATTCCTTCCAGTCTATTTTTTATTTTATTTTTATTATGAGAAAGGGTTTGCCAAGTTCTCCAGGCAGGAATGTAACTTGAAATCTCCTGTCTCAGCCTCCTTCAGTGCTGAGATTATAGGCATGAGCTGGCACACCTGTTTTGAAGTTAATATTCTGCAGTTAATCTGAGATGTTTCACTAACTGTCTAAAAACATCCCCAATTATAATTTGGTATTTCTTTCAACGAAGATTTCAAATAAGAAATGTAGAATGCTATTCAAATATACTGACATCTACCTAAAGAGAGAAGCAATATAACATTATATTTATTTTTATAAAGATTCATACACAAAAAGTCTTACAAACTGGGAAGCTTAATTCACTTGCATAACTATATCGCTCCTGACTCTTTGATGACTGAGAAGCTACTTTTCTCTTTTTATCCTACAACTTCACCATAACAGAGGCAAAATCATATGTAACAGAAAAGCTATATAAGAGGGAATACTACAACAACTAAAAAGATGAGTAGCAAATCAACCTTCCAACTCTGCTTATTATAGAGAAAACACAAAAAGAAAAAACCAAGAGAAGATAACACTTATTTTTCGCATGGTCTCCAAAATGAGACTGGTAGAAAAAATAAAAATGTCTATTTTTTAATCATTCTTTTTGAAAGTTTATTAGTTTATAATATATAATATATATTTACATAGATATTTACATATATGTGTGTATATAAAACACTAGTACAACAGTCTATAATCTACAAAGGGTTTGAACCAAAGCCTAAACATACAGAGAAAGACCACACACTCATAGACAAAGGGATTTGATGTAATAAACATCATAATTTTAAATTCAGTACAGTTTCCATCAAATTTCTCAGTGTCTTTCATGGACTTTGAAAAGCTAATCTAAAAATGTATATCAAAGAGAACAGCCAAATCAAGTCAAAGGACAGGAGGAGTGAGGGCCTCGCCCTATTGAAATGTCCATAATTGTCCATCCATAAACACAGGAGTATATCCTCACATGTTCACAAAGAGAGAGCCTTGAGAAGTGCAAAAGTGAGATCAAGCAGTGATACAAAGAAGGTTCAATATGCAGAGTTTTATTTTAAAAGTACATGAAACAAACGTGGCAAAACATTTAGAATAAGTTTAAATGGTGCATGTAGGTGTTTATTACAGTATCTTCTCTACTGTTATACTTATTTAAAAAGGTAAAGGCAAGGATAAAATTCATTTGCATGAATAGGCAATAAAGGTGACAAACTGTTATAATCAGAAATTCCTTCTGGGGGCAGCATTGCATTTTTTTTTAAAGCTTAAACATATTTTGAAATGTACTTGAAGCTCTATTACCAAAAGACTTTGTCTCGCTTTGTCTCGCCAGTAATGCAATAAAATTCCAAAAATACAAGTCAAGGAATGATATTAAAAATTATAAAAATATAATTTAAAAAACTTACTAAAAAGTCAATTTCAAAACAGAAACACACACACAAAAGCAAACCATGTATGGCTACTAAGAAGGCATTATTCCTAGAGAAATAATCAAAATATGTTTTTCTTTTAGTTTAATATCTTTAGTTTCCTGTATACAACTCAAAATAGCCAAACTATAGCTAATAGATCACCAAAGACCAAACATTAATCATAACTATATACAAACCGTGTTTGAAAAATATACTGAAAGACACTGCCAAGAATAACAGGATAAATGTGTTAGAAGTAAGGGGAGTATTTTGAGGATTAATGGTAATGTGTGTTGTGCTATAATACATTAAAAATTTTTAATTCACTGTATTTTTTGATCACGCTTTGTATATTTCATAATTATTTTCAAAATTATCAGTATGAGAACAAGGACTTAAAATTACGATTTTAACTTCCACACAAAAAGTTTGAAATGTCATTTTGTGTCTGCAAAATTTTTGAGAATGACATAAAAATCATACTTAAAAATTAAGACTTAGAAAAGAATTAAAGGTTATTTAAGCTTTAAAATGAATTGCTAAGTAGAAATTGATTATATTTTACTGTGTAATTGCATTAATTAACCCCTTTATAAAAAAACACTTTTCCTGCTCCTATGCAACACACTTTGAATTGGTCCCAAGTATTCTGATATAAGAATGCAAATTTAAATATTTGTCTTGAATAAAAATTCATTTGTATCACTGTCATGTAACAGATTTCCTAAATTATTGTGTTACAGAGGCTGTCAGAAAATGTGATGTCCATGTACATTAGCTAACAGTCTAAAGTTATATCACAGAAAGTTACACACAGTTCCATGTAGAAAATCTTTTTAGTTTTATACTGCACTGCATATATATAATATAATGCTGTCTTTAGAAAGAAACAATGTGCTGTAAATACTTTCTTAATTGTGAATGCTTATAATATCCTCTAGTGGATAGACAATTTAAAAAAGACCTCTAGAATTCACAGGACTCACTGATTTCAGCAACAGGTATCATATCATACTTATTTATATGGAAAGTGCTATGCCATGTTCTTTTCATAGCTTGGACAAGCAAAACAAGACAAGTAGGGAAACAGAAAGACCCATGATAAGAGCATAAAAAAATTTAAAAGGTCAAAGTAGATAATGCAGAGTGTGGAATTGAGGTATTTCTAAGTTGTAAATCATTTTTTAGAAGAACTTGTGTAAAAAATAAAATTTAGAATTAGATGAATCATTTTTTTCTTTTGAAGTAAATTAATAATGCTAATAGTACTTTTCAGAAGAAAAATAGTAAAAGTATATCTTGAAAATTTTCTCCTGATATGTCATGTATATACATCTGTACATGCACACACATTTGTAAAAGACAAAAAAGTGTACTTATTATCTTCCTGGCCACTGGCTTTAACCTAATTTATTGATTTGAATTGTGTGAGCTTATTTATAATAGAATGTAGGGTGGAAGTATTTTCTTCTTCTGAGCATTTGTTTTACAAAAGAAACGTGGGCACCAAAATGAAGATTTGAATTATTTTAACTACCCACTATTTCTTTTAACTAAGTAGGCTGAAAGATATTTGCAATAAAGAAGATTCTTTCCTTTCAATGCACAAAAAAATTATCTCTAGAAACACTCATTGTGTATTCATCACTGGCATCACCCAATAGTTGCAGAATCTTGGGACAATTCACTTAAGGCTTCACTTTCTCATGTATAAAATGAGCTGATGACAGGGACTCTCCATAGGATAGTACCTAATATGATGATGTGCCCAGCAAATGTTATGATTATTTGTAATACTATTATTTGCTACAAAGGACACTTTCAAATAAAAGATACAATAAAAGGCAGAAAAAGTATTCCTTACAATCTCTGTTCCTAATTCATTAAGAACTGTCATACCTAACCTGTAAAACATTAAATTAAAAATTTTAATCAAATTCTCAAAAACAGTAAGCAAATTCCATAACTATACAGTACACACATTACTCTAATTCATAGTATGCATGAGAGCCAATTTAATAATTTCTTCAACAGTACAAAGTTACCATATATTTTATTAAACCAATTAAAATAGCTTAAGTTAACAAGATTTTATATATTCTTTATCATTTTAAAGCACTGTTTCTCACATGAAAAAATGTTTCTTTACTATTCACAGTGAAGCTGTGTATGGATATAAAATGTTCAGAAAAGATTCTTCAGTTTTTTTAAAAAAATGTCCCTTTCATTATATCTTACAATGATATACTTGGATAAACATTTTATAATTTAATAATTCCAGAAAAAATAAATTTGAAGTAAATTTCTAGACTCCAAGTATCATCTATAAATATAATCATTTATCACCAAAAATTGTATGACCAGCAATCACAAAAGTAAAAAATATATAAAAACATAAAGGAGTAAACATTTATTCTACTCAGTATCACCTTCAGGGATTTTGCCACTTGAACATGGTTATCATAGACTAAAATGTCTATTGTAAGATTCTGTAGCCGACGAATGTGATTTAAGTCACCCTCAAGAACGTGGTCTTCAATGGAGACTCTCCAAGATGGAAATGGTGTCCTGGTGCCATCCCATACCTGCCACAAGGGAAGAGTAGAATTTAAGAATCTTTATAAAAAAAAAAACCACTACCATAAGGGTATTTTTAAAGATAACTAACTATATGACTTTAAATATCTGTTAAACATTAAATGTGAACTATGAGTAATGAAAAAAAACTAGAAGAATGTAAAGAAAAGGTCACCCTCCTATGAACCTACACAAAATATTAACGTATTGCTGACTTCATCTTTTTTCTTCTGGTTGCATACAGAATACATGTATTTGAAACAAATTATATTCTGCATCACTCCTTTTAGTTTAATGCTGAATACTTTATCAGGCAACAAATAGTATTCTAAAGTATGATTTTCAATATTTTAATATCATTTTATGATACAGGTACAAATTTAGCAGTCTTTATTAGAAAACTGGGTTTTTAAAAATGTTTTACTATTTTAAGTAGTTTAGGACCTGGATATATAATTTAGTGGTAGGGCACTTGGGTAACATGTGTGAGGCCCCGGTTTCAATTCCCAGAACGGCAAAATAGTTAACTCAGGAATTGCCATGCTGTATATAAACCCTTTTCAGTACCTCTGCTAAGTTTAAGTTCTTAGCCTGCTAGAAATGTATTCTGAATTTTGCAAATTTTTCACTTTATTCTGATTTAGAAAAGCTCTATTTTAAAAAAAAGAACATATATTTTGTTTACATTTGATTTTAAGGATAGAAATGAATGAAAATAACAGGTGCTGAAAAAGGAAATGTATGCTGAACTGTCACAGAAGCTACACTGAGATGCTGGGAACAAAGACACAGAATAAATACGCACTTCCTTATGGCATGAGCCAGCCTGGGCTGTGTTTGGGTTTTAACAGATGACATGCTGTGCTACAAAGGGTGTGACAAAGGACAATGGAGTGAGGTAGAAATGTCTCTGCATGTAAGAAAAAGCTTGAATCAACAAGAACAAACAGGCTATTTGAATGAAAAACACTAGATTTTTGTAGAAAAGGTCAGATCAGCGACAGATCAGTGTCAGGTCACAGGGGAAGTATAATCTTGGCAGAGCAGGAAGTTGCAAATAAACAACTATGTCATGATCAATAATGTTACAAGCATTTTTCTCCATTTAGACTTCATTCTTTGAATACAGTGTTTTTTGACTGTAACATTTTGGACTTCACAGACCAATCCAAGAGACTTTGGGGATGGGCTGAAAGGCTGAAGGGCTTCTGCTATATTGATTTTATGGTCTAGTTGTAATTGTCTAGAAATCCTAAACTCAACAAATACACATGCACAGTTGACCCTTGAAAAACACAGGTCCCATTTGAAAAAACTTGCACATCAACCACATACACTAGAAATTCACACGTATAAACTACATATATCATTGGATATTATTAATTCAAACAGCTTTTCAGTTAACTATTTAAGTTTTACATCTTAAAAAAACTACACTTTTTCTTTTTTCAAGAGTTAAATCTTTCATTTCTTACTTTATTGAATTCATGGAGACTTCTTGAATAATACCACAAATAGAGAAAACAGTAAAAACTTTTGTCTTTTTTCACTCATTAAAGACTCTACAGTTACACCAATACATATGTTTGGCTTAAAGTAGATGTTGCTTACTCAGGTAAGGAGATATATTTCTAATATGGTTCTGCTAAACGTTTTCATAAGTATTTTTTTTTTTTGGTACCTGGGATCAAACTCGGGACCTTGCACTTGCGAGGGAGGCGGCAGAACCACTGAGCTAAATCCCCAGCCCTCATAAGTATTTTTTAACATTCTTTGAAATGCTCATATGATTTTTAACATCCACGAACATGCTCTAAAATTTTCTTGTCATTAAACCTTTTCTCAATTCTAAAAATAAATTGTGGTAGATTATACATTTCCAGGGGTTTTTTTTGGCACCGGTGATCGAACTTGGGACCTTGTGCTTGCAAGGCAGGCATCCAAACCACTGAGCTAAATCCCCAGCCCTGTGGTAGATTATAGAATATTATCCATTTACTATTATTATTGATTTGATCAAGATTTTTGTTTTCTGTATTTATAAGTGAAACTGAGATATTGCATTATTATGTAGTATCAGTCTGCTTTTGATATAATTCACTTTGAAAAAGTTTATTATCTAGGCTCAATACCCTTTAATTGTTAAGGTAATAATTTTGACAATGCACAAATACTCTGTATTTTCATATTTACCAGCATGAGAGCTGAATGTAATTTTTTCTGATGTCTTTGTTTAGAAAACCCCCTTTTCTACCTTTTATAAAATTAGAATTGGCCAAACTTTTAAGTAAACCTTTTGGTTTAATAATTTTTATCCTTTTCTACTTAAAAGTCATTAATTATGTATAATAATTCCTACAAACTTTATAGTTCGATGACAGGTACTTTCATATACTGTTAGGAATTGTTTGAAGGGGGACAAGCTCTATGAAGAGTATTTTAGCAAATGTCATCAAAATTTAAAGTCCAGGTATGTCTTGACCAAAATCTGAGGACGCTAACATTCTTTGTAATAAATGGGGTAATATTTGCACTAAAACTTATACACATCCTTTTAAATATTATAAAGTTCTCTCTGGATGACTTTATAATACCCAGTATCATGTAAATGCTATATCAATAGTTAGTATTCTTACTGTTTAGAAAATGACAAAAAGAAAAAGTCTATAATACAAAAATTCTCATATTAAAATATTTTTGTATATAAATATACCTACCTAAAATATGGATGCTTCTAAAATCATAATAGTGATTTATTTGACATTAATAAAATTATTTATTAAAGATTGTCTAATTCTTTGTTATCCAGCATTCCTCTCATGTTTTTATACAAAGGAATAAATGTTAGAAATTGGACTAATTCCTATTGATGTTTTTCTGACTCACGTTATTTTCTGTTTTCCAAACCATATGACTGATCAAACATAGAAATGATCCACCAGCTCTGGCTATGTACGACTTCTGGTTATTTACAACAAAACAAAAACATAAAAGAAAAACACTAAAAAGATATAGTGTCAACACTGTAGATGTTAAGAAAACAATATGCTTAGAGAAAATTTGATTTAAAAATATTGTTCAGAAGATGTATAAGCAGAATAGAAAGTAGTGGAATAATGATATCTATTGCACTTTTAATGCAAATCACTGGTAAACATGACAACCGAAACATTAAAATGAATGTATTGTGATTATTGAAAAAGAGAATATTGTTATTCTCTTTCCTTTGAAAAAGGAAGTAATTATACTATACTGCATGTAGCCCAAATATCATTTAGATAAAGTCTGCTTCCTCCTACTTTGATAAAAATAATTTTAAAAATTATTTTTGATGAAGCCTAAGAAAATCAACCTCATATAAATCAGTTATAATTCCACTTTCTAGATAGCAACAGTAAAATATTGCTATATATTTTCCAATATATTTTGCTATGCTTATGACTTTTAATATATAAGTGAAACTATATTCCTTACTAAATAGACTCATGAAAGCCTATCTCAACAAATGTCTCCAATGTCATCTTACAGTCAGAAACTATTCTACTTTACATAGACAAAAAATTTTCTATTGCTATTTGAAGTTTCCTCCAATTTCAGTATTTTAAGATAGTCTTTTAAATGTATTTTTGTGCATATTTAAAAATTATTTTTTAAAAACAAATTTATGAAAATAACACTGTTGTGTCAAAAGGTATATGAAGAGTTTTGAGACTTTTTACTAATTTTTACTAATGTACTTATTAATTTTATTTAAATTCACTTCTCAGTGCTGTATTTTAAAATGACAGTTACTTGAGAGCAGTTGTTACATATCTAAAAAACTGTGCATTAAAATGTGAAGCAGGCAAATCTTGTTTCTTTAGAGAGAAAATGTAGATTCTATTATTAGCTAAAGAATACTAGATTTTATCTCAGCATTTAAGAATATTCTAACACCAGAGCAGTCAAAAGATACCTGTACACACAGAATCTTTGTCACTGGAAGTGTTTGGAGGTTAAGAAATGTTTCTTTCTTCAGGATGTCACTTTGGCTAGACAGCATTCCCAGTTATGTAGGATTCTTTCTAATTTCCATTGCTGCAGTTTCAGCTTTGTCATATTGGCTTATTTACTTAACTTTGCTTATAGTATGTGTTTGCTTTGTCATAGTAGTCCTAAGGTGCTAGTTTCAATTTCAGAAACTTCATATTTTATGCAGTGATTTGTTTTTCACTCATTGTTTCTTAAAATGAGATATTACACATATCATCATTAAACCAAAAGATGTGTCCAAGCACCATTATACTTCGTTCTTTACCCTGTTATTACAAACAGATAGCAGAGAAATAAACACAGGACCACAGCTTAAGCAGTGCTATTCAAATACATCCTCCTCGAATGATAATGCAAGGAAAATATCAAGTATCTTTTCAACAAGTTATTCATGAGCAAAGCTGGAAAACATGTAAATAAAGATTAGATGGATCTTACGTTAATTTTTTCCCAACTTCTTTAAAAAAATTAATAATAATCATAAATATTTCAAAATTATCCAAGACATACCAATGAAGCAAGAAGAAAAGGATATGGGAAAGAAACCCCAACATGAATGGGCGATCAAAGTAAATGAGTAACAAAGTAAATGATCTTGACAAGGAAACAGAAAATTCATATACAAAATTGCAACTTAAAATATAACAGCAGAAAATAAGCCTATATTTTATTCCTAATAATAAAGCATATTATATTTAAAATACAGATCTCATGATACTGTTTTTCTCTCTGAAAGGAAAGTAAAAAAGTGCAAAAGTAGAGTTGAATGAATATTGAGTGTCATCAAAAATGATAGGTTAAAATTTAAGTTCTTAGTATGATATATGTATGCAAACACATTCCATTAGAATACTACAAGCTCTTTATAGACATGCAGGTAGTACTAAAATTAAAATTTCAAGTATTTGAAAATGTACCTTTAGGAGAAATGATGCTCCATCTACTTGCGCTTTGCCCAAGAGCTGACAAGTCAGATCAAAATACTGCATTGGCTGAACATCACACAACTGTACTAAGGTTGAAGAAGGTGAAATGTGTGTAGAGGACCAAATTCGTAAGGCTTCTACCATTTTGTGGTCTGCAGCAGTGAAATGAAAACACTTGCTTGAAGTACGAGGTATGACAGGAGCTCCCAAGGTTCCCTCAAAGGTCAAAGATGCAAAGCCCGAGCTGGTGATACCTTGAGGCTCATTTTTATATACTTGGATCTAAGAAAGTTAGGTAAAGTAGAAAACAGATACAAACAATATAGCTTACTGATAAAGAACCCAGGAACCAAGGAAACTTAAGAGATTTAAACTTTTCCAGCATTACTAACAGTGAATGTAAGTTTTTCCTTTTTCATTTGATTAGCACATGAAACTATGAAATCCACTGGTGCTATACTAAGGCACATAAGTATCACATAAATTTCAAAACACTCTACAAAATTTAAAAGCTAGGAAGTAGTCATCCTATTCCAATCAAGCTTGTGCTTTTTGTATTGTATGTGATTTTCTATAAAGGTACAATTTACATGAGGAAGAAAGGAAAGCAACAATTATGAGTGTTTTACTATAAACTAGAACACTTAAAATATGAATATGTGAAATAATAAATACAGCTTGAAACTAAGGTTTAATCAATCTGACAGAGAGTTAAGATATGCCAGGAGGATTTTTTCTTTCTGAATTTGGGGGTTCATTTAATAGACAGATAGTTGATAATTCTTTGTGATTATTATATTTTGATGAGGCTACTCTTTTGACCTTAAGAAATGTCCTTATGAAATTTACCTTATTTGGGTGAATCTGTTTGCAAAGTGAGTCCTAAAGGTAAAAGATTCTTTGTAAAACTTGTAGGTTTTCCAAGAATATGTATAAAATATGTGTAAAGTCTTATTTTTGGATAATGTCCTCTGTGAGGCAGGACTCTGTGTTTTCTGAGCTGCATATCCAAAGTCTAAGAGGTATCAGCAAAGTCATCCCCAACCAGCCTAGACATCCATCATCCTCCCATTGCTTGAACTCTAGTATCTGTTTCCTATTCAATCACACAGGTAGTTCTTGATATCCTTAAGCACAGATTTCAATCAGGTGTTCATAGGTAACAACCCATCCTTACCGTTGGTAGATTTTTGGACAGGTATTTCCATGTAGCTCTTTCTTCTCCAGTGCCTTGACTTGTGGGTGCCCTGAAGTTTGATATTCACCCCCTTAACTTGGTGGGATTACAGTTTGTACGTCATGTTACTGTGCAATGGTTGAGAAACTGTCCTCAAACAGGCATGTGGTAATCATGTGGCTTACTACCTAAGTCTCTCCTCTCTTTTCTGATCATAGCTATTGCCCAACAAATGACAAGAGTTGTTTCACCTTCATAGCAACAGAGTTAGTCTAGTACCAAATAATTTTTTGCAGATGTAGTTCATTCTGCAGATTCTAATTTATACTTGACCTACAGATATCAATCAACTCATTTCACACATTTACTCATATATGTGTTTTGTTGGTGCTTTCTTTTACAGTTTAAGCTTTCCCCAAACATTTATGATTTTTGGTAAGGTGATCACCAATTCTATGCTCACTATTCTATTTTCCAGAGCTCATTTCTGCCAATTATCAGTGTAGACAAGAACAATCTGATAGAGTCCTATTGATAACTTGGTTTTACATCTAATTTATCAGCAAGTTATCTTTGGTTGACATTCAAAATATACTGAATTCTATTCCAATATACAGTATCAAATTGTTTCCACTAGGATCTGATTCCAAGCTATCCTCATCTCATGACATCACAGTAAAATAATCTCATAACTGATCTCTCTAATACTTGTCCTTCAACAACCCATTTTCTGTCCATGTTTGTCAGAATGTTTTTTAAAAAATATTATCCAAGTCATTTTATTTTTAATTTAAAATTCTCTAATGACTTCTCAATGTATCTAGAATAAAATCTAAACGATTTACCTACCATAAGACTATAAAGGGATAACCAAAACATACAGTGAATGTTTAAATTTTTAAAAATTACAGTAAAAGACATTACTATTAATCACTCTTAAAAGACTTCCCCCCCTTACTTTGAACACACTTATCCCACCATTTTTGTCATTTTCTGAAGCAGTTCTGAAAGTCCTATTTCATGAGTATCTTTACAAGGTATGATCAAAAATACAATGTTGTCAAGTGCCATCCAATGGAAAGGCAGACTTCTAAAAACACTATGGTGCACCCAATCTTCGTTTTTCACTGGTTCTGGCACTATGAAACTTCTGGCTCTTTCCTAGTCATAATGACCAAGAAAGGTAAATGTTTTGAATTGATTTAGGACAGAGAGGTAGCTATGAGAGAGCAATTTAAGACATGAAAGAGGACTTTCAGAACTTCTGAAAGTGCCAAGAACAACGGGCTGTGTAGGAAGAGGGATTATTTTAAGGGGAATCAATAGCAACATGTATTTTACTGTAATAATTTCTTTCTTTTTGGGGGAGGGGTTCTCAGACAAGGTCTCACTATGAAGTTCGGGTTGGCCTTGAACTTACTATGAAGCCCAGGTTGGCCTCAAACTCACGGTGATCCTCCTGCCTCAGTCTCCTGAGTGCTGAGATTACAGGTATGCACCATCTCGCTTGGCTTTATAGTAAGTTTTTAAAATTTGTATGTTCACTGTATTTTATTATCATTCCTGTCTACTTTTTTCTCTGGTTTCTTCTAACATCTCTCTCACAATTTAGTAGCATCCAGGCTGGCCTTCTTTTTGTGTCTCTAGTACTATACTTATTCCCATCCCAGAGTTTTGAGGTTAAAAATGGAAACGCAAGGAGTGGGAAAAGATGTTCATTATCTGTATGTCTGACAAAAAAAGATTCTTAGCCCAAATATACAAAGATTTTCTGAGAATAATTAAGAACAGGAAACAAAATCCATACAAAATGACCAAAATATCCAAACAGGTATTTTATATTTCAGAAGATATTAACATTTGAAAAAGTTCTCAACTTCATAAATTTTCAGGAAAATTCAAGTGAAAACCACAGTGATACTAATGAATACATATCCAAAAAAATTTTTAAATGGAAAATACTAAGTGTTGTGTGGACCAAACAGAATTCTCTGAAATTGTTAGTGATAGTAAATTGGTATAAAACATTTTGAAAAACTAAAGATGAACATAAACACATTCTAGGGCCTACCTAGCAACTACACTAAAGTACACTAAAGTATATTTAGTATGTGTATACTAAATAATACTAATATGGTGTATACTAAAGTACATATATATGTGTGGCTGTAGATATTCATATTTATATTCACTAAAAGACATACTAGACCGTTCGTATAACTATTTATAATATCCACAAAGTGGAAATACCTAAATGTTCAAGAACAGAATTAATATACAAATTATGATGTATTCACACTAAAAATCAGCAAAGTGAAACCATGCAAGCAATATGGCTGCTTCACACAAGCATGAGCCAGACATGTCAAAAAGAAAACCCAAACTACACACTGCTTAATCCAATCACAAAGGGAAAATAAAGAACAAACAGATGAAGCTGTTATAGAAGTTATGGGACTGAGCTGGGAATGGTGGCACACACCTATATTGGCCTGGACATTCAGGAAGCTGAGGGAGGAGGACTGTTTGAGCCCAAGAGTTTGAAGCCAGTCTAGGGAACAAAGCAAGACTCTGTCTCAGAAAAATAAATAAAAAAGAAATCACGAGATTGTTTACTAGTGTCCTTTATCAGGCTTCACATGGAAAACTTTTAGACCATCAATCTGTATTTGGAAGTGAGAAGATGGAATTTAACTAGTCTGAATCAGAGCATCTAGTACATTTCTGGGGAAGGCAGTTTATTTAAATAAAGACATGTCCCACCATTTACATTTCTTCTTAACATCTGAAATGCTTGGTGTCATGTTCTAACAAAGCGACCATATAATATATGCTAATAATAGAGAGTTCTCTTCAAATAAATATAAGTTCCAGAAGTATGAAGTATACCTTAAGTCTGTGAAAGCGAACAATGTCTCCAATTTTATAAATTCGTGGAAGGGCTTCATAGTTTCCACTGAAGAGTAGACAAGTTAACTTTACATTTGTTTGGTCCACAATTGTTACAACCGAGCAATAATCTGGAAAACACAAAAATATTTAACTTGACTTAAAAGTATTTCAAAGCATTTCATACAGTATGAATATGCTCACTTCAAAACACCAACCAAACTTTGTTCCTTCCTTTGATTAACTCTTCTAAGAAAAGGATGAAAAGAGACATTTTCTTGGCTCTCAAGATATTTTCTTGGTACTGCCAAATTAATCTACAAAAGTGTTGCACAAAAATTAATTTTACAATGTTTAGTAAAACCAAAATAAAAATACTGCTTTACTTTTTTGGAGAGATAATAACTTTTTTACTACTTCAAATATTTTAAATTGTTTAGCAGATGGAAATTTTCAAATAAACAAAACATAACTCATGAAATATGCATATTTACTTATTAAACTAAAGGTGAGTGATGGAGGTACAGCTCAGGATAGAGTGATGGCCTAGCATACAAAAGCCCCTGGGTTCAATCTCCAACACTGCAAAATAAATTCAAAGAGTAAACAAAAGTTATTTACAGCAAATGTGACAGAGTCATATCTGTATTGCATAAAGATGCTTATAGTAAATATATTATACATAAGACAGATGAACTTTTCATAGAAAACTGCATAACAGCAAAAAATTCAAAACAGTTAGTGACTCTTGCTAAACACCTGTAAAAGATTATACGTTAGAACAAGAGATTAAACTGGCCAAAATTACTAATTGGAGTTTGCACAAAACTGGTAAACTTAATATTATGTTGATAAAACTGAAATAGATAGTGCCTTTTAATATGTGTTTCAGAAAACTTCACTCTAAGAAAATGCACTGACTTCTTGTACTTTCCAGTACTCAATGAGGATGGTAAAAATAGTGAAGAAAAGAGAGGGGGAGAAGATATCAACTTATTTCTGGAAGGCAAGAAAGTAAATGGTTTGGTGAAATCCATAAGATAGTACAAGATGGCTACAGCGAAAGTGGGAACCGCTGGGACTGAGAGCGGTGAAAGTAAAGCTGAAATTAGGTCAGTTAAAGCATTATAAACAGAACAAATGTTCATCAATCACCATCCACTCCTAACCCTCCACTCCTACACTAGGATGCAGCCAGGCACAGTATCTTAGTATTAATCACATGGTTTTTTTCCCAAGAAAGTTGTGTTGATTAACTGGGAAGTGGTAAGACATCTCGTGGGTGTTACCACCCAAAAGAAGTCCCTCTACTTCATCACATTAGGGAGCACACAGCCTGATGGGCAGTTCTCTTCTCACCTATCCAGTTCTGACACTTTTGAGCACTATGTCCAATGCAAGTACTATTTGTCTGCATCTGATTTCCCAATCAAAGGAGTGCATGCTGGAAAAACAAACTACTTATACAAAACAAAGAGACAAATGTTGACAAAACCATACATACATTCATAAATATAAAAAGATTATAAAAAGATAAAAAATATGAAAAGATAGCAAATAATTACCATGTATAGGTGCAAAAATGAAGAGGAGCTAGGGAAGAAAGATGGTAGGAAGAATAGGAAAGGGAAAGAAGAATGGGGGAAAGGAGAAAAGGGGAGGAGAAAAGGAGGAAAAACAAACTTGATTTTGTGAGGAGAGAAAATAACTCAGAGAATATTTAAGAAAACATCAAAATGAAATCAAAATCTTAAAAAGCATCTTCAAAAAGAAAAGATATTATATCCCCATCCTTTGATATGCTACCAGTATCCACTGGCCGAATTTTAGTTTTTAAATTTCCTTTTGCATTAGTTCTAATTATCTATAGGTACTGTCATTTCATAACATTTATTCTTTGAAGTCTTCCAATGATCAAGGATAAATTTTCTGTTTTTTAAAACATAGAATAGTACCACTGCCCCAGAATGCTGAAGAGGTGAGCCTCTCGGACAGCCATACCACCGTCCCAGAGGGCCGAGGGGGTGAGCCTCTCAGGGCGCCATACCACCTCCCCAGAGAACCAAGGTGAGCCTCTCAGTCCTACATACCACTGGCCCTGAGCACCAAGGAGGTGAGCCTCTCGGACCTCCACACCACCGCCCCAGAGTGTCAAGAAGGTGAGCCACGTGGGCGCCAGCGCACCCCCTGCCCCGGTGGTATAGAGGCATTATCTAGATCCACACCACAGAGTTGCAGGGGTCATAAAGGACATTGTTCTGAGCTTAGGAAGATAGAGTACAAGTGAACAACAGAAAGAGGGCCTCTCTGAGGCCCCTTGATGAAAATTAAAGCCCACTGGAAAAGTGAAGAAAATCTCTGCAATAAAAGCACAACAAACCTCCTTAGTTGGGGAGCAGCCTCCAGAGTGGACCAGAGCAGCGGGGCTGCAAGTAGATCCCAGCCAGGGCTCCACCATGACCCCAGAGGCTCAGGCACACTGGCCCAAGCCAAGGGGTCACCTGGAAAAGAGCTGCACAGGCACACAAGCAACAGAGGTTTGCCCCAGTACCATCAACAAGTGCGTGAGACCCTAGCCAGAAGCTTGGTCGCACAACAGGAACTAGGGTGCACAGCCCCCAGCCAAAGGCCCTCCCAGACAACAGCTACACAGGGGCCCTAGCCAGTGGCACATCTAGATATCATCCCAAGTGTGCACAGGCCCCAGCCAGAAGCCAACCCAGACAACAGGTCAGCTCAGGGATCCAGAAGGCCACCTTTCTGAACCCAGGAATTAGTGTACTGGTGAGCAGCAGAGAAAAGGCAGCTCTGTGGCTTGCTGAGAATTGAAGACCACTGGGTGAGCAAAAAGTTGCCTCAACAAAGGCACAGCAGGCTATATCTGTTGAAATGAGAAGACACATAAACAAGTCTCAAAACCAGACTTCCAGATCACCTAAGGCTATGCCAAAGGGAAACGAGATGGAACAATCTGATACTAAACCACCTGGAGTCCCTGAACTGGCAATGAAAGAGGATCTGGAAAAAATGAAATCAGAAATAATTTCTCAAATAACAGCAGAAATTGTGCCCATAGTGCAAGACATGATTAATAAATCTAGAGAGGACACAGATAAAAAAATAGAGGAGCTGAACAAAATGGAATCCCAACATAGGAAACAAATGGAATCCATAAAAGAGATGCAAACAGATTTCCAGGAGATTAAAAACTCCATTGAAAGTTTACATAGCAGAAAGAGCCAATGTGAGGACAGAATTTCAGATACAGAAGATAAAATTGCAATTAGTGACTAGGAAAAGAAAAATTTCTTTAAAATAGTAAGGGACCATGAGAAATCAATCAAGCAGATGAAGCAAAGAAGAATAACATAAGACTGATTGGAGTCAATGAAGAAAGAGGAAAGAGTGCAGATGACACAAAAAACCTGTTCACAGAAGTGATGGCAGAAAAATTCCCAAGCAGGGGAAAAGAATTTGACATACAGATAAAGTGAGGCATATAGGATTCCAACTAGCCATGATCAAAAAAAATCTACACATAGACATATAATAGTTAAGATTCCAGAAACCAAACAGAAGAACAAAATTCTACAAGCAGTGAGAGAAAAGAAACAAATCACATACAAAGGAAAGACCATCAGAATCACAGCAGACTTCTCAACGCAAACCCTCAAGGCACGAAGAGCTTGAGTGACGTATTTCAAGCCCTAAAGGAAAACAGCCTCCAACCCAGATTGATGTACACTGCAAAACTATCTTTCAAAATTGATGGAGAAATACTTTCATGACAAACAGCACCTTAGGAACTTCATGAATACCAAACCAGCACTCAAAAAAATTTTAGACAGTATCCTAGGAAAAGACAATGGGGATCACAACCCCAGGAAGCCCAGGAGAATGAATCCATCGGGCATGACAAGAAATTAAAGGCAAAGGGGGAGAATCCAACAAAAAGAAAAAGTAATGACAATGATAAGTCAGTATGTATCAGTTATAACCATCAATGTTAATGGTCTCAATTCAACAATCAAAAGAAATAGACTGGCAGAATGGGTCAAGAAGCAAGAACCAACAAGATGCTGCATACAAGAAACACACTTAATTTAAAAAGAAACTCATAGACTGAAAGTTAAAGGCTGGAAAACAATACTCCATGCAATAGGAACCTGAAAAAAAGCAGGAGTAGCTATCCTCTTTGCAGATCGAGTGGATTTCAAAATCTGAAACACTTCTGGTCCCAAGAATTTCAGATAAGGGACAGTCAACCTGTATGTAAAAATCTATTTTGAACATGTGTTTTTATTTCTCTTAAGTAAAAACTTAAGAACAGAACTATTGATTCTTAACAGTAATACAAGAAATTTCTATATTGTTTTCCAAAATGGTTTTATCACTTTACATTCACATTAGCAGTATTAGAAAGTTCTAACTGGTTCACACCTAAGCTGACATTTGTTCTTCTTAAACCTTTAACTTAATCTCCCTAATGAGTATATAATATGATCTTATTATACTGATTAGTACTTTTCTGATTTTAGTGTTGCACACCTTTCCTTGTGCTGTACTTGCTATTTATTATGTTTTGTGTCTACTTTTTAATTGGGTTGTCTATTAATGAGCTGTAATAGTTTTTTATATATTCTGGTCATAGGTTATATGTATTATAAATATGTTCTGGTTAAGGACTACTTTTCATTTTCTTTTTCTTTTTTTTTTTTTTTTTTGGTACTGGGGATCAGGACCTTGCACTTGTGAGGCAGGTGCCAGAACCACTGAACTAAAGGCCCGTCCCTACTTTTCATTTTCTTAATGATGTCTTTTAAAGTTCTAAACTTTGAAGGAAACTCATTTATTATTATTTTTTATACATCATGTTTTTCGTATCCTAGGAAATTCTTGCCTATCCTAAATACATAAACATTTTCCCTTACAATTTCTTCTTAAAGTTTTATTCTTTCATGTTTAGGTTCATAGATCCTTTCAAATTATTTTTATGTATGGAAATAAAGGGCTGAGGTTAATCTTTTACATATGGATACCAGATATTCTAGTACCATTTCTTGAAAACATCTTTTCCTCTGCAATTGAGTTGAGTTTATGTTCTATAAAATGTTAATGTTAAATAATCTTTCAAAAATTAGTGGACTATATATGTGTGGTTCTATTTCTAGATTCTCTGTTTTATTCCACTCATCTGTGTCTTTCCTTAAGCCAACATTGCCTTGACTACTGTAGCTGTAGAAGTCTTAAAATTAGGTAATAAATGTCTTCCAACACTGTTATTTTTTTTTATTTTTACTTTTCCAGGTCTGTTCTATTCCTACATACCTTTTAAATTTCAATATCCAATTCTTCATTTATAGCAAGTATACACAGATCTGAATTTTTATATATAACATGTGTTTTCTAATCCTGTTAAATTCAAATATAAGTTCTAGGGGCTCTTAGAGATTTCTTAGTATTTGCTCTGTAGATGATCATTTCATCTACATATAAAGATTTTGTTTCTACCTTGCCAATCCTATGCTATTTGTTTATTTTTATTGCCAAACTATTTTGGTTTGGGCCTATGTTTCAAAGTT